AAAAACGTCTACCCCCACAGTGATGGTGAAACGGAGGAAGGCCTTCACTCAGCGCGAGATCTCAGCACATTTACGGGTGATCCACAGTAGATGGGGCAGTGGTGACTGATGAAAAGAAGATGAAATAAGCTGATGCTCAGAGGAAAAAAAAACAACAAAAAAACCCAGAAATGAGCCTGTGAGCCCTGAAGAGCTCTGGAGAAACTCGATGGTCAGAAATGTCAGGTCCAGGGAGATGTGGACTGGGTCCTGTTGCTAAAAACGGAAGGAAAAACAGAAAATTTCATATAAACGGGTGATCCCCACCCTCGACTCTCCGCCTTGGTTCCATCAGGCAGACAGCTCAGCAAAAGCCTGAGGTGTCCTCTGGGCTGGCCTTGAGGGAAAGACCCTGGGGTTTTGTGTTTGGAGATTCCCCAGGGGACTGGCTTGCTGCCTGAAGACTGGTCACCCACCGTGAGGCTGGCCCCTGGGCAAACGCTGGCTGCAATATGTAGATGGCCGGCCAACGGTTTGCTGCCTCATTCCCAAATATGAAAGCCTCACCAAACCTTACCAGCGGATTGTCACGAAAATGTAAATATTGTGTATTGATTTTCAATTTTAGAATCAAACTGCAGGCAAGAGAGAAAAGCCAAATATGGTTACAGATCAGAATGCGGGCGACCTTGACATCATGTCAACGTGAAAGGACATGGTATTTGTGATGTGCTTTCAAATGCCTCAGAAAAAGAGGTGGCTTGGAGGTGGATAGAGGGCGGCAGAGACGGTGGCTCCGGTGGCTCCGTGATGGTGAGGGCCAGGCACAGGGGTGTTCGCTGCGAAATTTTTTCAACTTGCCTGAGGGTTTGAAAAATTTCCTCATGAAATGTTGAAAAAGTAAAGGTGTAGGTCACAAACATGGGAGGTGGGAAGGTTGGAGAACTGAAGAGAAGAAAAGGAACACCTCCGCTCGATTCGAATAACGTCGAAGGATTTGTTCTGCCGTAAAAGATATTTCGAACAGTTAAGTTACGACGGTGACTGACGAGGAAGGAGATCACCTGTGGGTCTGAGAGTAATAAAGGGATCGGAGGAGAGACGGCTGCTTTGAATAAAAGGTTCACTGCAGTTTTCAGATCTTAAACTATGTGCAGTGATTACTTTGATAAAAAAAATTGAAGAATGATAAAATAGAGGCCTTTTTTTGGGATATGGAGGGACAATGACAATTCAATGAAAGAGACTGCAAAGGAGAAGTTGAATAGGTCTGTGCACATTAGAATGAAAACGTCTTTGCTTTCTTCATAGTTAGGCATTAAATAAAAATAAAAGGAAAACGAAGTGGGAAATACATATGCTAAAATATGGCAGATACATGTGGATACGCCGTGTACATATGTACGTCTTCTACAAGCAGTTAGAATCATGCTAACACCCAAGAAAGCGTGATCTACAATTGCAACCAAAGACTATTTGAGGGATTTCCTATTTGGCATCGAAATGACCATATTATCGTTCATATCGAAATACCTTTCGACATTGTGAAGGCGGTAGGCCAAATGCCATTTTAGTTTCTCTCCTTTAGTTTCTTTTTTGGTAGCCGTAGTCCATCGTCTAAACACCTCTTTTATGGGATTTTATCTGAGTCCTTTATAATTAAGCCACCACATTTTGGGGTTGACATCTCTAACTGGGAGTAATATCCAACACAGTGAGACATCACACAGCTTTAAGGCTCTCGCTGAGACGAAGCACTGCTGTCCACCTCTGGGCCTCCTGCTCGCTGCCCTCTGTGGCTAAGTAGCTCTCATTTCCCTCAGGACGGTCTCTGCCTTAAGGCAGTTTCCATAATCCTAGTGGATTATTCCACAGGGAAATGCCTTAAGGCAGTTTCCATAATCCTAGTGGATTATTAGAAATCCACTGGTGACTCCAATTTTATATGGTCAACTGTGATTGTCAAGTAAGAATTTGAGATTTAGGACCACAAACATCGACCTTCTGATGAGGCAGGACAGGGCAAGTTTCCCTGAGTAGGGGCAGATCACTGAGAGCAGGTTCTTTGGTGGAGAGTGTAGAAAGAATTCAACACGCGCGCCAAAGTCCAAGTCAAAAGGAAAGTTTCTTAGAGAAAGGGTGACACCCCACTGACAGAGCGTGGTCTCCTCTCAGAGGCAGAGTGAGAACCTTATGAGATGAGGACAAAAGACTTTACAGTTTAAAGATTTTGTTTACCCATTTCCTTTGATACGGTGAGGAAGGGGAAGGGGAGGAGTATGGAGACTGGAAAGGTACAAATATGCAGAGTGAAAGGCCTGCTGGCGGTTCCCAGCCTTTAATCCTTAGATTCCCCTGGCTTTTGCCATACAGAATGAATGATTTTATTTTGTGTAGGGCAGCCACTTAAAGACACTGTTTTTCCTGTTTTCTCTTCAGGGGGTGTAGGGATTTTTTTTTGTCAGCAATCCCAGTAGAAATCTTTTGTTCTGCAGGTGTCCTAGTGGGCTGGCTGCAGAGCTGATCAGCATATTTGCAGTCTCTGAATGTAGCTCGATTTCATATTTTAAGTCTCTTGCCTCTTCCCTACATTACTACGAGAGGACTTTTGCAGTTAAAAATGCACTGGTAGGGAAAAAATGCACAGGTGCAAATGTGATATTGTCCATATTTTCTTGAATAGATTTGTAAGCCTTATGGACAATCCTATCGAGAATACCAAGTGCCAAGATGGTGATAAAATGATGGAAAGTGAACAAGATCGGCAACACTTTGATAAAGAATTTATGAAAGCCTATATTGAAGATCTTAAAGAAAGAGGTAGGTTACTCACAGTGAAAAGTATTTAAAATGAGTGTACAGAATTCCATTAACTCATGCAACATTTATTGATCTAAGTTGAATTGACAAAAAGTTAATTGGTTAGGGGCGGGTTACTTTGTAAATTGTTTTTTCACTTACCAAAAAAAAAAAAAAAGATACGTTTCCTTAAAACATCCGGTTTTCCTAGTACATGTGAATGCTTGATATGTCAAGTATTTGACAGAAACATACACTTAAAATGTGAGGGCCGCATTCCCAATGGTACATGAGTTTTTAACTAAATGATAGTGACAAAAATGCATTCAGGTTGATAGGAAAACGAGATTCCATTTCAAAGTGCGTTTAAATCCAACTTGAGGAAAAGTCACCTCTTATGTAAATTGAGGTACACCTGTATCAAATCACAAAGGGGAAAAACACAAGATGACGGCAGATTAGTAAACAGACCCATTTAATTTTGGTTTCCCATGGGGTGGTGATAATACTGAGGAGCATGAGGGGGCGGGGTCACAGTGCCACAGGAGCAGAAGACAGGAAGCGTTTTTCCCTGCGGCTCTTTCCAAAGTGTTCCGGAAGGCTTAGGGCTGCGTCCTCCCAACACAGGAATACAGAAACAGGAAACCTGTATAAATCGGTCTTTGTTCTTCTAATCGCCACCAGCTTTCTGGGTGTGGATGCCTGAGAGTTATCCCTTATTTTTTTCAGTTCTTTTTTTTGTAAGCAGTGTTCTCCCTGACAGAAAGATGCTACGCAGGTGGATTTAGAGAGGAGGGGTCCCAGTCCCCATGACTCTGAAAACCACCTGAGGTCAGGTTCCCCTCAGCCACCCTTGGAAAATATCACACGCGTGAGCTCACTCCTCCCCCATTAGTAGGTGTCTGAAGACAATCGATCACATTCAGATATTGAGAGATTTCATGACATTAATAAAAAATACCGTTTATTTGGCAAATTAAACTTTTTTCAACTAAATTAAGAAAATGTCTATATAGTTACCTCTGTCCCTAATCTTAAATGCTGAAATATTATGAAATAAATTAGAAATTTACATTAAAAATGAAACTGAAATAACAGAACCATTTATTTGTCAAAATTTATCTTTGGATTGTATAATTTATCTCTTGTGAAAAACTTTATTGTTGTATTTTCCTAATTTATTTATAATTATACTTTAGTGCTATTATGTAAAAATACAGGAATTAGAGAAAATAGGTATTAAACTTTGGATCTATTGTGGCCAGTGATAAAATAATTTGCTTTTAAAAATTAACTTTGGTGATGATAGATTTTGAATTAATTTACTTATTTCTAAATGATTATGATATTTCTATCTTTCATATATTCGTGTTAGGTTGAACCAAATGATATTGCCAATATTCAGCTGGTTTCCACCTACAAAAATGGTGACTTCTTAATAACTCAGCCTATGTGATTGGACATACGTGCTTTGAATTTTTTAAAGTTTGTCTTCTTTACTTCATCAGGGGGTCTTCCCTCTTTTCCCTCCTTCCCCCTCAGACAAATATCTGGGTCAGTCACAGAGTCCATGGCTATAAGGAAAATAAGATTCAGTGAGTGCACATGGACCTCCAACCTCGCATGATTCTAGAATGATGAGGAAGTGAAGCCCCTCACTGGTCCTCAGATGTTAGTGAATTTAAGAATCACTTGCGAGCCCCACCCTCAGAGTTTCTGACTCATCAGGTCTGGGGGAAGGCCTGAGAATGTGCATTTCTAATCATTTCCCAGGTGATAGTGATGAGAACCATTGGTATAGACCATCCTTTGGCAAAATTTGGCTGTGGAGAGAGAGAGAGTACTCAG